ATGTTGGTTTCTTTTAATTGTTGTCAAATTTTTAATGCCAACTGATTTTTTCTCGATTTCCCCTAAATTATTCACGAACATTGTAGATTATTGTTCAAAATAGTACCGTTGGTATAGAATTAGTGTATGGGTGCCATATTTGTCGGAACAACTTCGTGTAGTTTGTTTTTATTTTTTGTTAAATTCCTTACGACCCATTGCTGCAACTATAAATCAAATAATTTTTGCTCACTGGTGCTCACTTGCTGCTTCACACTTCTGGTTGGCACGATGATTCCTTCTTTTTATTTGATTTATTTTCATTTATTGGTAGATCTAATATCAGTTTAGATTAAGTTCTAAAAACTTTTAAAAACTTTTGTCAAATTGGCTGGTCTGCCAAATGTTGCATTGAGGGTATTAAATGAAGTTTGTGCATGTGATATGACATGAGGTTTGCAAGAATGTTCAATATTCTGGTAAATATGATTTTTGTAAGTACCTAAGACTTTCCAAGTGTTATTGCATTGCATTTTTCTATCTTATGTTCATCTCAATATTATGGTCAGATTTCACCGTGTGTGGAAGAAAATTGAAGATTTTGTTGTTCATCTGCTTCAAGTGGTAAGATGAAATTATAGCGAGGGAGAGCCAAATTATAGATATGCGAATCATTTTTCATAGAATATTTTTTCTACCCCAAATATAAATCCAAATGAAGAGAAACCGGAACAAGTAAAATTGATTTAGCGGACCAAAATTAACATTGACGGCTTCATTGGCACAAAAAGTGGCGCTGTGAAAAATAGGTCTGTTCCTAAATCCTTCTCCGACAGGGAGTGCATCAGCAACATCACGAGCTCTCCCATCGACTCCCCGAGCAGGAAAGCCATCAGATCATTGTAGAGGTTCGATGAGGCGCTGCATTCTACACCATGTTCATCGCCCAAGTGGGGTTCCTTTTATGACTCTGGTGGAGAGTGGTGTTCCGATCGAGACCACGTTTTATGTTCATGCTCTCAGCAGAGCCACATTTTGGTAACCAGCACTACATTATCCTCTTTTATGCTAATCATATAGTAGAGTATGGAGTTTTTTTAGTATCTATTACGCTTTTGTCATCTTCGATTAATTTTCCTTTGATGTAAAATATTAACATCTTTTTTGTTTCCTTTTTATATTTTGCATTCATATAGTTGCACCATCTGATTATTTCGGGATTTTTTAAGTTTCTTGATAAAGAACTTGACTATCTCTGGGTCTCTA